ATTGGCCGGGCGCGGTGGCTCATGCCTGTAATCCTAGCACTTTGGGAGGCCGAGATGGGCGGATTGCTCAAGGTCAGGAGTTTGAAACCAGCCTGAGCGAGAGCCTGTCTCTACTAAAAATAGAAAGAAATTAATTGGCCAACTAAAAATATATAGAAAAAATTAGCGGTCAATGGTGGCACATGCCTGTGTCCAGCTATTCGAGAGGCTGAGGCAGGAGGATCGCTTGAGCCGGAGTTTGAGGTTGCTTGAGCAAGGCTGATGCCACAGCACTCTAGCCCAGGCAACAGAGTGAGACTCTGTCTCAAAAATAAAAAAATTATGACTAATCATACAACAAGGGGTGCTGTTCTTCTGGTGTAGCGTTACTCAGCTTGCATTTGTGAGGATCCTTTACCCACACGGTCGACCCATCATTTTAGTTTCCTTTTACCATTCTAACCTATATTTTAGCAGTTTCTGCATAATGCTTGCAGGAATCAGAAAAGGGGAAGCAATGAATTTAGATTATTACCAGACCCGAAATTCTCTAGGTTGTAGTTTGCATAAAAACAAGATTTGGAAAAATTTCCCCAGAATGATGTCTGTAGCACACTCAAAATGTAATGATGGGTGTGTATGGAAGAGAGGTTTTTGTGAAAATAGTGGCTAACAAACATATCCATCTTAATATCGCTCCAGTAGCTCAGCCCTTGAAAAGTATATAATCTGAACTTGCCTAGTCACAGTGAAAATCTCAAGCAATAGGCTTGCTGAACATACTTGGGAAAACTAACAGATAATCAGAAAAAGCAAAGAAAAACTTACTATAAATTTTGTTTGTTTTAAGACTTAAGGCTGAGATAGTGACGGGTAATTCTGGGAATCTTCTCCCACAGTTTTCCTAAGTCACTATGTCATCCCTGCAAAAAGCCATTTTTTGCCCTTCTATTGACCTGGAAATTAAAAGAATAAATATTTGACTTTATCAAGAGACACTAGTGTGCTCAAGTTCTCCAGTACCTTTAAATAAATCTCTTGTGACTGTGTAGTAAGAAGCTTATTCAATTTTATCCTGTATCTGTTTCTAGTGACTCAATTTCCTCAAGATGGTGCTTAAATAGAATGGAATAAAACAAAGTTTCATTATCATGGAGCAAAGTCTTAAAGTTTTCTATTGTTCACATCAGGTTAATCAATTCCACATTATTGTAACCCTAAGAAGCTATATTGAGAATGCAGGTTCAGATTAGGCTAATATTTATTAAGCACCATCCCAAGACAAACCATTTTACTAGGAGATTTTAATAAGTTATATTTTAATAGCACAATATATGTGTGTTTAATCATCACAAAAACTTTTGAGGGGCAGCCAGCGTTCACCCGAGGGGCAAGTTCTGCTTTCTCGGGGTCATAGAGCCAGCAGGAATGTTAGCTACCATCTATTTAGCTCTTTCCCGGTCCTGGCCACTGTGCCAACAATTTTGCCTGGATTGTTGTGTAATTTACACGGTAACATTGTGAGGCAAGTGGTTTCAAATCCAGTTTCACAAATGGGGTACCTGTGGTCGAGAGGAGTAATTTCCTCAAGATGATGTGGTGCAGGAGTGTAGTGTGTTTTGGCTTTTCTGGTAGACCTTTCCAGAACCCTAATTAAGCTTATTGCAGATTCCATAGAAATGGATCATTTTGCAGTTTGTGGCCAAAATATTTGCACCTGGATCCAAGTGGTGACCAGTGGCTCTTGTAGACCAAGCTCCCAAATTGGAATTGATCATTTTCTCTTCTGCGAGCCTAAAGAAACTTACTGCGCTCAGAAGCTGCTGGAGGCAGAATTCAAGCGCAGTTCTCCTAGCAGTCCCTTCTCTACGTTGGACGTGGTGACACATCAGAGCAGGCACATCTCCCTCAGTGACCACGTGTTGCTCGTGCTTGACCTCATGGTCTTAAGTGAGCTTACATGTATATTCGTGGTAAGTTCTGGCTACCACGAGGAGCCGTAGGGTGCTTCCTGGTGCCAGGTCACTTGAAGGTAAAGAGGGACAACCTTTAATGGTGCAACTGACACTCCCTACGGGAGAGGCGTTCCGACACTGACATGTGGATGTCACCTCCCTTTTCCGCTCGTAGCTGCCGTGGCTGTAGCCATATTTGATCCTTTTGTTCTTTCTCTAGAACTCTCATTAACCATAAAGAAGGAAACTCCAGTGTAAGATGGCAAAGTCACAGGCACATTTTAAAATGCTTTTTACTGACAATATTCATTCCCCTATCCCAGAGGATTAGCTAATATTTGATACATAGGAAAGAGAGACACAAACCGTCAACCTGTGGAAACTCCTTGAAACTCAGGATGGGACAGAGATTGTCCCGGTGATAATTGGCTCAATCTAAATTAGCAGTTTCCTGGGGCGAACAATTTCTTTGCTTCATGAGCCATGACACTAAGTAAATGGTGAAGACAGAGTGTAGTGTGTTTTGGCTTTTCTGTTTGACCTTTCCAGAATGCTAATTAAGCTTATTGCAGATTCCGTAGAAATGGATCATTTTGCAGTTTGTTGCCAAAATAATTGCACTTGGATCCAAGTGGTGACCAGTGTCTTGCAGACCAAGCTCCCAAATTGGAATTGATCATTTTCTCTTCTGTGAGCCTAAAGAAATTTACTTTTAATCTCATTTATGGCTTCTATCATACCTTGCCAATATGGATTTATGAAAGTGCTTTTTTTAATACATTTATTTTGAAGTCTTTCATCTGAAGCAGCTGCTTATTAAAATAAGTAGAGAATGTATTATATACTTTTTACTGTCCTTTTGGTAATGATCTTTTGGGATTTTGAGAGCCAATGTGCTTTAATAGCTTGTCTCTGGAAAAAAGAAACAACTGAAAAGCTGAAAGGAATTTAAATGGGCAGAATTGATGTGAATCCAAAATTTGAGAGCAGTTACTAAAAGTTCAACTTGCAATCCGATTTTAGGCCTTTATTATCCATCATTCCTTTCAAAAGGAAGAGCCTTGAATATCTGTCCCCCTCACTCCTTACCCGTTGTTTTTATGCAGAGCAGTGTGTTCCTGAAGGACCTTCCATCTCTTGTAATAGAAAACTCAAAAAATTGCATTAAGGAATCTAGCTCAGGAAGAGTAGCTTCCCAGACTCCATTTAGGTAGTACTTAGGATTTCACACATGCGGTGTTTCTTCAAAAGCTCAGACAGACCAGATGTTTCAGATCACAGTTGAGAGTCACATCATCTAACGTTGGGGAACGATACCCCACCTTGAATTCTGCAGCCACACAAATCATCCTGATCTTGATTAGCAGTGCTGGGCAGGAGAAGGAGGAATGCTAAACGAGGTCTTGGTGCCAGTTCTGCTGCTGGCTGATTATGATCCTGGGCGAGTAACCAGGCATACCTTGCTTCAAAGCCCCACCCAATATAAAATGGGTATAAACGTGTGCCTACCACGTGTTCTAGGATGTTTTTAAATGAACAAGTATAATAATATAAGAAAACGTACTTTAAGTTTTTTTCAAACAAAATAGAAATATAAACTTAGGTTTTGTTAATAATAATTTACTAACACCTTACTATGGAGAATGGGTTCTTATTTGGTTTTATTGTTTGGGCCAAGCATCCTTTAGCCTATTTTGATTCTCTCTGTGATCTATAATGAAACAGAAAATTAAAAAAAAAAATACAATGAGCATGTGTGCTTGTTTTACTGTTGAAATGGGAAAGCCTTAGCAGCAGCATTAGGTAAATGGTTTTACAATCCAGAGCCTTCAAAGATCCTAGGATTTCAAAATTGAGCAAAAAAACTAAGACTCAAGCTAAATATTCTCTCTTTTAGTTTGTTTTTTTTCTTTATCTGCTCTCATTCATTTTTAATGATGAAAAATACCGTCTTTCTTAACATCTTTTATTGACAGTAAACAAATATCTTTGAGTTCCTGTTAGTTAAGGGCCAGACTAATAGCAGTTGGCCCGTATGGCCATGGAAAAGCAGGAAACAAGACATGCTACTTCTGTTCTTCCCTCATGGGGCTCACATTCTAAATTTCAGCCAACAGATAAATTTGTATGTTTTGTTTTAAAGGTTTAGACAGGACCTGAAACATGACAAACTAAAAAGACAGGCTAGGGTCTTTGAGGGAAGGGAATGGGGGCCAAACAGTAGTTAGCAATTCAGATCTTAAGTCAATTATATGATCTAAAGTCAAAAACCTGATAAGTATTATTATATAATATTTCTATAGGGACATTCTCTGAGTAACTATCTTCTAATACATAAAGCTTTGCAAAATACATAAAGGGCTTATCTATGTTTTAATTATAGAATATTTTTTAAATACTATGTTTTGATTTTCAGACCCTTAAATAAACTAATGAAACATTTTTAAGAGGAGGGTTGCTTTAACAAATAAATTAGGTTCTTCTGCAGCTGACATCTTTAATCTATAAATGATACCAAATTATATGAAAATAATTTTTGAAATTAGATTAAATATTCACGACTTTTATGCTTATTTAGTAATTTTTTTGTTTTCACATATTTTACAAAGATATACTTCCTCATATATAGTCCAAATTTCCAAAAGTTACAAATTAGTTAATATAGGAAAGCTCCAATTTGTGAGGTTTTACATGAAGCCAGTGATCAACGTACTCAATTGTTAGCAGTCATTTCTTCCACTAGACAGAATATATTGAGTGTATTTTAGAAACAGGGAAATTTTATTTTGTTTGGGTTTTTTGAAACCTGAAACAAATTTTAATACCATCTCCTTAAATACTTTCCATTGTTTCTTATCAGATTAGAGCACATCAGAATGTCCAAATCTATGATTATTTTATCTAGGTGAAAAGTAAACACAATTATAATAATTAAAATTTCATTATGCCCTTATGCTATTATTTAAGACATTTTTAATGCCTAGACTTGCATTTTTAAATACCTGATTATGCATTTAGGTTGTTTCTATTTTATTTTTATAGTCAAAAATTATTTTTTGCTTGCAGTTAATATCTCAATGTCTAATGAAACCACGATGGCCCCAGAAGATTTGCCAACTATTTCTTCTACTGACATGGTAAGTGACTTAAATTTCAGACCACCTGCATACTGACTGTATATTGCATACTCTGTTTGTGATATGCACAATATGACGTTTCCTACCATTTAGCAATCCTGGTGTGAACATGTATTTAATAATCATTGATAGGGAAGGATGGAAAAAAATACTTTCCTTTGCCCTAGACAGCTTTTTTTTTCCCCCCTTTTCAAAACAACTGAAGCCAATATTTGCTTCTATAACATGCTTTTTTAAAACCTTCTTAGGAATTTAACTGCTATGTCCCATTAATTGTAACCTTGAAATATTTTCACAAGGGAAAAATGTGACAAGTTGAAAAATGAGAGCATGGTATCCTCTCTCTGTTTCTAGTGCAGTTAAGAATTCTGACTCACCCAATGGTGCTGTGTTCTCTTCACTAAGGGTAATTGTAGCAGAACGTTTCCCCTGCTGCTTAGAAAGGACTGTGCCTCTGTCACATGATGTCCTTTCCCATGGCTTGTGACCAAGGATCTTTAAGGGACTGGAACTAAGCTTTAAAAATGAGCTGTTTTGCATGGAAGGTCACACACTGGAAGGAGACTTTTTTGTTGGATAAAAATGGGGAAAAGTGCTGTTTCAGACTTCCAATTGTGTTCCTTCTTTGCTGGATGTGGATTCTTACCAAAGAATATCAATCTTTCCATTATAACGACAGAAACCATTATACTTTGTGCTGATAGAATGCCCATCTCTCAGGAGACCAGAACATTTCTGCAGATATTATTTAGCGAGTGCCCACACATCCCTTTCAAAGATGATGTTTTGTATCTTTCCTGGGCAACTCTTGCAGAACTCTGCTTCTCTTGTTTTCTTCTTCTGTGGCTCTCTTGACTTCTTTCCTTACTGTTAAAGTTTTCTCTGACTTTTCTCAAACCTCACCACTCTATTTCTTTTGTGTTTGATAGTGAGTGTCTGTATGTAAAAATAGGTATATATGTTTTACCACATACATACAGAAAAGGTTCAATTTTCAGTCTTTTAAAAAAGTGAGCCAGCCTGTTACTTAAAAGAACTTGCCTAAAATACAGGAAAACATATTTCCTTCTAGATGTTAAAGAATTTTAATTAAAATTCTTATTAAGGTAAAAAATCTAATTAATATAAAATATAAGTTAATTTGCAATAAAAATTAATGAAACACTTCCACCACTTAAAAAGAGATTGTTTCCTAACTTAATTATTTTTGTAACTAATTAAGGAAGAAGACTTTAAAACTAATGAATTTTTAAGCCCTATCTTTGGGCAAGTCTTGGAAGAGACTCCAATAACTGACATGTAATTACAAAAAGATGTCACAGTAAGATTCATGGAAAACAAGTGGAAGTTCTGGTTGACTTCCGGTATGACTATGAAAAAGGACACAGACGCATAATAATGATCACAACTTAGCTACCATGTCTACCAGAGACCAGTGCTTTACACACATTGTCATCCTTATAAAGTTTAATATGTATTTTAAATATAATCATCAACACAAACTATCAGGCCTAAATATCTCTATTTTGTAGATGAGAGAAACTGGAACTTCAGAGGTAAATAATTCTTTTTTGCCCTTGGCCACGTAGCTATTAATTAGTCGAATAAAGATTTGAACTGAAGTCTAGGTGGTTCCAAGACCTGTGCTATTTCTAGTACATGATGCTCCGGTGTTTGCAAATGGAAGGGTTGACCCTTTTAGTTCCTACGGGTGCTCTGCACTCCAGGACAATGGTCCCCTCCTGTGTGTATCCATCGCATGCCTTAATTGAAATGGTAAGTGCTGTGTTCAGCACATCTAGGGAAAGAAGTTAGGAAAAAAACGTGTGTGTGTGTGTGTGTGTGTGTGTGTGTGTGTGTGTAATCGTGAAGGACAACTTTCATTCTATCCTTCATTTCTCCTCTTCCATCCATATCAATACCTTTACGTATGCTTTGTGTGTTCACATACATATATATATATACACATACCATATACGTAAATGCTTTAGCAGTGAGGATTAAAGAAGTAATATGATTTATCATCAATAATAACTATCATTTATTGAGTACCTACCAGGTTCTTTACATTAATTGTTTTTAATTCTCATAATAACTTTATGGGTAACATGTTACCTCTTTTATAGCTAAAACACAGGCTTAGAAAGGTTAACTAACCTCCCCAAAGACATATCACCAGTATATGGTAAAAACAGGCTTTGAACTCAGGGCTTTCTAGCTCTAGAATCTGCCTTATTCCCATTCTTTAGGGAAGCAACCTAGTGAACCACATAGAGGGACTTACAGATATTGAGTTTTTGTGTCAGACTTCCTGGTTTCAAACGCAAAGCTCCAGTCCTCAGCAGGCTCTGGAACCTTCTCAGTTTCCCATCTATACGTTGGTGGTGATAATAGTACTTGCCTCAAAGGTACTGTAAGTGTCAAATTAATAGATAGGCAGAACTTAGCTTGGTGGCTAATGGCACATAGCCATCTCTCAGCCAATGTTAGTCACCATTATTATTCTATTTGGGCATTATTATCATTTCATTAGGCCTTGCTGTCCCTGTAACTCAGATGGTTGGTGGAGGAAAGAAATTGGAAGTCCCTATTTCTGAGAGGCGACTGAGTCCTCTGCTTGGCCATGTTCTGCTACCCAGGGCCTTTCTTAGGACATACAGTTATCAGGACTTAATTTTTTTCCTTTCACTTTAGCCTTAATTAGATGAGGAGAGAAAGTACAGGAAAAGTGACACGCAGCCCCCAGGCCAGCGCGGCTCCCTGGCACAGCCCCTGAGAACATCCCGTGGGAGGCAGGAAGGCCTTTCCCCTTCAGCTTCATTAGTGTGGTGACAAGCTTGCTTCTTCCTGGTGCTCGGGGTGTGTCTCAGCGGAAAAGGCAAGAAAAAGAATTATAGCAGTATTTAAACAGAGATTAGAAGTCTAGAATAACTATACCTCAAGTAAAAAGGCAGGTTTTTAATTTTTTTTCCATGTATTGTTGGAATCATCTTTATTTCTCTCACTTTTGCCAATTTTTCTATACATTTCCCACTGGGCATATCTCTTCAACCTGCAAACAAAATTCTCGAGAAGGGGCCTGTCGACCTTTGAGACCAGCCACAGTTTATTCTCATTGAATGACTATCTAAAGAATGAGCATTACGATCTGTTGGCTTCCAGTTCCCAGCTTCTCAAAGGGACGGACCCGATTTCAGAATCTAATGTCAGTCTCTTCTGAGGAGCTGATTGAAAGGATCAGTATTTGTTTTTCATGTTAGAATCCTTTTTGTTCTTGTTTTTTTTTTTTTTTTAATTGAGACATACCTTAAAATACATGGTTCTGAAGTGTTCACTGAAATAAGTTTTGATGGTTGAATACCCCATGGAACCACCATCCAAACAAGATAGAACATTCCCATCATCCCAGAAGTCCCATGGAATACTCTGTATCTTGTTTGATACACCAGCTTTCTGAGCCTTGGGAAGTCTTTGTTTGCCCAACTACCCTGCCCCCAGCCTGCGGAGGGCAGATACCTGAGCCTTTCAAGAAGTGACTTGAGTGTCTCAACAGGGCTTTCTCTTAGCTGTGCTTCCTTGCTGCCAGTCTTAAGAAAGTGGCTTTCTTGCGCTCAGGGGCAGCTCCATGTCTGTAAGGGGGATTTCTCTCAGTTCTCCTGTCCAGCCTCCTACCTATCATGTATCACCTGTGCACTGGCCCAAAGATCGTGAGAGTTTGGTGAGTCTATGCCTAGGATTGTTCTGAATTCTAATCTGTCACCCAAGTTTGCATGCAGCCATTAAAAATTCATTGAAGATTTGACTTCTGTCTCCCTACCTCCATCTGCAGTGGATTTATCTTCCACCCGCTGTTCTTCCAGGAATGGAACAGCCACGGGTCTCTTTTCTTCCATGAAAGGCTGCTAACATTTTGGCATTTAATTCATTTAAGCTTCTTTGCATCCTTATCTCTCTGGTGGGTTTTTAAAAACTACGATTTTATGGCTTATCTAGCTTGGTTTGGTTGTTAGGATGGGAGTGATGATCTCTTACAGCTTTCTAGAATCTTAATCACAAGAGGAACAACCAATTCATTTTGATATTTTACAACAGTGCAGACAACTGCAGCTCAAGTGTCTGTTATATATGATAAGATTTCAAATTACTGCAAATCTGGCTTTCCCTACTATGGAGGGGGGGAGACCTAAGTGAGGACATCAGCTGCTTAGCATTGAGGCTTTTCTTTGTAGTAGCATCCTCATTTATATTAAAAAAAAAAAGGCATATATTTTACCAGTCAAAACTCAAGTAGAGCATGTCTTTAAATAATGTTTTATTATATATAACATTGATGAGATTTGATTTCTGGTCAGGGCTACTGTCTGTGTGGCGTGTGTGTGTTCTTGTCACATGTGCTTGGGTTTTCTCTGCTACTCCAGTTTCCTCCCACATCCCCAGGGACCAGCATGTTAGGGTCACTGGTGTGTCTAAATTGTCCAGCCAGAGTGAGTGTGGGGGTGTGTGAGTTCACCCTATGATGGAATGGTGTCTTGTCCAACCTTGTACCCTGAGCTACTGGGTTAGGCTTTGGCCACCCATGACCCTAAACTGAAATAAGTGGGCAAATAATTATCTTACTTGTCTTTTATTAATCTTTCTTAAATGTATGTAGAGCTCACATTTATTTCAATATTTAATATTAGAAATGTGTTGCTCTTTATTTAGAAGTTTGTTGATTTTTTTTTTTTTTTACCAGAAACGTGCTTTAGGAACTTAACTCTTGTTTATATCAATTAGCCTATGGTGAAATTGGTTTCTTTATGTCATTTCACTTAAAATCACAGTTTCCAAGAACCTATTGATGATGATAAGTGAGGACTTACTGTAGTATAGAACCTTTCATTATTTTTTTATATTATGTTACCCAGAAATGCTATTAATCATGGGACTAAGAGCTATTATAGTTACATAAATTCTGCTTGACACTCAGACATGGAAGCAAAAGTGGTTTGATATGATGT